GGAATGCTGCCTGGACTTCTGTCCAGATGGGAATTTACTCCCTGTGTCCCGAGCTCCTACCTCAAAACCTCTTTGTCCCGCTGGCGTGGCTCAGCCCCTGCCCGGCCCTGCACCCGGTGCCAGCGGTGACACAACGCAGGCCCTGCTGCTGCCGTGGTGGCACCAGAGATGATGATGGTGCCATCAGAAATGCCTTCCCAGAGAAGAGGAGGAGAGACAGGCAGCAGCCTGTGCGTGGTCATGTCCCGAGGGGAAGCGGAAAGGAGCCGTGATCTCTGCAGGAAGGGGTCTCACAAGCCGGCTGGGCTCTGTCCAAGCCAGAAATCTCCTTTATTCAGCCCAAACTCCCACCCTTCTCAGCCAGGAGTTTTGCCAGAGTCAATAGAGCAGAGCTGGGCCTTTGCCCCGTTCCGTTTTGCTGTAGGCGGGTTGATGGCTCCGTGGGGGAACTTGTGCTGGAGCCACTCATCCCTGCCTCCTCCGTGTTGCACAAGGCACAGACGCAAACCTGGGAACCCCTGCAGGGTTTGGGATGGTTCAGCAGGATCCTGCAGCTGCCCCTTTCCATCCTGCCTTTGCTTCCGGTTGGGTTTTTGCTTACCTCACCTCTGCCCTGGAGCTGGGATGCTGATCCACAGCTTCATGGCAGGTTTTGAAGGCTCCTGTGGATCCCATGCCATGGGGAAGTCCTTACCCAGCCCTCTCCTTCCTGCTGCTTGCTTTTTATCCTGGCTGGAAGCTCCATAAATCCCCATGGTTTAGGGCATAAAGCAAATTCCGACCCGTTTTAAGATGGGATCAATCCCTCCTGGGTCATTGGACCTGAGTTTGCTCTGTGTTGCAAATAATTTGGAGTGTGAACTGGAATGATGAGGATAATGTGCACTGTGCCAGCTCTGGATCACTGGTTTTGCTGCTGCTGAAGGGCTCAATGTGTGGTGAGTTTAAATGGCTAGATAGCACTTGGCAATTTCAACAGCCTTTTCATGTTCCCTCGAGTTATTTCTGCTGTCACAGAGTGTTTCTCTTTTTCATTAGGATTTTTAAAATATAGTTACTGTAGAGTATTTTACGGTGTGTGAAAAAAACTAACAGAATAATATAATTATGTTAGAGACTATGATTATTTGCCATTAAATAATATACAGACATCTCTCTGGGTTGTCTTTTCTTTAAATACCAGACTGTTAGAGCTGTCCCATTATCTCGTGTTTATTTTTCTGTGTCCTGTCCATCTGGCATAAAACAACACAGATTTTATCTCCCAAGTGTGTCAAAGTGAATTGAGCCAAATACACATTTTTACTGCTCAACTGCAAAAGGAGTGGAAGAATCCTAAAATCCAGTAACAATCCTGTCACTCCTGGGCAATTCAAGACCATAAATTGTCTCAGTTCTCATTTCTGCCTCTGTCCTCAGCTTAGAAATAGCACAGACGAATAGATGAGGCACTTTTATTCCTTAGTGTTTTCAGTCTTTACAGTCTAAATTCCCAAGATTTTCTATGTGATGAGGAGGTCTAGAGCTTCCCACACACACTGGCACTCACACCAGCACCTCTTTAAAATGAAGGCTGCATTTTTTTAATACCAAATGTTGGCTGGAGCTCGAAGAAAACCATTCTTTGGTGAGTGTTAGTTCATGCAAGGTGGCAATGCTTCATCTGGGCACTTCCCAAATGGATGTTTGCTACTGACTTTAATAGGAGAAGAATCAGGACTGTTTGTTAGGACCATTTCTTAAAAGGGAAACTTACAGCTTATTGAAAAAGCGGATGTGAAAAGCACAAACTTGCTCTTTTCTTGCCAAGAATCGTACAGATTATGTCACTGCATTTATTTAGATTTGGTTTCCATTATGTAGCTTTTCTGCTTTCCCCCCACACACACGTCCCATCTGGTTCTTAAGCACTCAGGGCTGGGCTGAACATGCTGCAAGGAAAAGCTCAAATCCATGTAAAATACGTAAATTTGAGTTTAAAAAAAAATATTATTTAGGGTAATATCTGCTCTTAATAGATTATTTGTATATTATTGATACACAGGTTTCAGTTATTGCTATGACGAGCCCTTCAAAACAGTTGATTCATTTTGCAAGGCTCCTGTTTTTAAGGAAATGATGCAACCCTTAATTTTTTTTAAGGGTTTCTCCTTCTGGCTTACCTGGAGACAGGAGGTTTTACCCTCGGTGCAGCTCTCTGATTGCTGCAGGTATTTTCCTGTTCCTGGATTCCCGACAGACAGACAGACAGACAGACAGACAGACAGACAGACAGACAGACAGACAGAGGGTCCTGCCTTGTTTCTAGGGTGACTGTTCAGTCCTTCCAGTTTAACACTTTCCAGTATAAAGGGGTAATTTTAGGGTGTGATTGGTTCCAGCATGAAACAGCCAATATTGGGCTGAAAAATCCAAGGGTGTGGAACATGAAATAGGCATCAAACATGAAGTAAGAAATTGCTGGGAGCTGTTTCAGGGGCTTAGCCTCATTTTCTGTCACGTAGGTGGAATGATTTTTATTCTGCTCTACCAAACAGCCAAATCCAACCCATACCACCTCTTGGAAGTCCCAATTTTGTCTCCCATTTCATTTAATTCCAGGCTTTTCCCTGGGAGAACCTGCCAAATGGTGTTAAAAAGCTCTTGTGGTCGCAGTGGGGGGGTGTGCAAAGAGCAAAACTGGATGTAAAACTGGACAGTCTCTTGGGGAATATGTTCCCAGCAGCTCGTGAGTTGGCCAGGAAATGTCTTCAGGATTAAAAAAAAAAACACAAAACAAATGAAGGAAAAGGTAAGATTTTGGAAAAAAAACCCAAGACGTTGATCTGAACCACCAAGCGCTGCGGTGTTAAAAAAAAAAAAGTAAAAATAAATTTAAAAAACCCCACCCCACCTGCTAAAAACCCGCCCCTGCTGCCAAGATCAGGCGGTCTTTAAATAACTGAAATAATTTTATTTTATATGGTCAGCGGGGTTTGTGATGGGAGGGACTGAGTGTGTTTATTATAAACACGTCGGTGAGTCCTCCCAGGAGAGGAGTGAGGGGTCCTGGGGGGTCGTCAGGCCGGGGGGAGCTTGAAGGGGGGCAGTGGAGG